GGCTGATGACAGCTCTGGTGGCAGTGCCACAGTGAACTCTGCCTGTGACAGGCTGGGGACAGCTCTGGCAGGCTAAGGGCAGTTTTGGTGCCAGTGTCACACTGAGCTCTGCCTGTGACAGGTTGGGGACAGGCTGAGCCCTGCAGCCCCAGGGCAATCAGCTGAATGAACGCTGAGCTCACTGGTAAATGAGAACTTTCCACAGCATCAGGTGCCAGGGCAGCTGCCAACTGGGCCAGAGGGCACACAGGGGACGTCACCACGTCCTCCTCAGCTTACCTCACACATGGCTCTGGCCCAGCACTGCCAGCATTCCAGCCTGGCTCTGCAGTGACAGCAGTGCTGGGACACCCGAGTGCCACGCTGTCCCTGCCAGGCTGTCACAGCTCCCTGCCACTTTACTGGCCCTGTACCACCAGTACAGAGTTGGGGATGTAAAATTCAGCAGGTGGCACCCACAGCTGTCCCTGACCAACACAAGGTGTGACAGCAGGAAAGGGGACACAGGGTCCTACCTTGATGTCATTGTCGATGCCTCCAGAGATGATCTGGTCACTGGTGTCATTGAAGGTGACAGCCAGGACCTGGTAGGTGTTCTGGAATGTCTGGACAGCAGCTTTTTTCCTGATGTCCCACAGCTGGAAAGAAATGTGGCACTTGTAAGAGGTGGGCACAGATATTTAACAACAAAATCATTGCAGAGATACTGGCAGAGACTCAGCCTGTTCTCCTGCAATCCTTTTGTTGGTCTCATAAAAAACATCAGATCTGGAGATCTTTATAAAAAACACTGAATTTGCTGTGTCTGGAGTACAGGGAATGAAGGGAAGGAAGAAGAGGCCAGCAGAGATTTCAGGAGAGGGAAATAGGAGCCAGTACATGAGAATACAGGAGAAAGAAGGGGCGAGCCCAGATTTCAGGAAGAGTTCTCATGCTTTGCAAATCCAGAAAGAAACTCTGATTTCTGATTTTTTTTGTCCAGAAAGAATTCCTTGGGCACCTGCAGGGATGGGCCCTGCATCTGTGGGATTTGTGATTGGTCTCATGTGCTTGTTTGTAATTAATGGCCAATCACAGTCAGCTGGCTTGGAGAGAGAGTCTGGGACAGCTGCCTTTGTTATTCATTCCTTTCTATTCTGAGCTTAGCTAGGCTTCTGAGATGAAACCTTTTCTTCTATTCTTTTAGTATAGTTTTAATGTAATATGTATCATAAAATAATAAATCTGAAAAATAGAGTCAGATGCTTGTCTCTTCCCTCCTCCTCAGACCCCTGTGAGCACCGTCACAGTCTCCTCCTCCTTTCAGGGACTTGAGCAGATCCAGAGCAGCAGAAAAATCCCAGCTGAGCAAGCTCAACCTTCCCCACCCCCCTGAGAAGTACAGAAAAGAGAGCAGTAAAATTTGCTGTCACATTTCTGACTCTGAACTCAGAGTGATAATGCAACGAGTAACAAAAAGCTGAATTCAGCTCAGATAAATGGGAAGATCCTGAAACTTTTCCACCTTTTTCCCCCAGGTTTTGCCCAGGGCACACACTTGTAGCAGTCACATTTTCTGAAAAAATCTCCCTGCCCAGGAGTTTTCTCCTGGGAAGCCTCAGAGAAAAGGAAAACAATTCTTA